GAGGAGGGGAGAACAGTCTCACTTGCCCCCGGAGACAGGGCGATTTCACCACTCCACTGGTTGCCCCTGTGTCAGGGTATGGCAAGGCCTGAAAGCGCCATGGCAAAAGGCTGCCCAGTCACGGTGGGAGCTGGAGGCCTCCCCATCTCTCATCTTTGGAGATCCTCTCATCTCTCCAATTTCATTAAAACTATTAAAAAAAACCCTGCCTGAGTGTGCAAATAGAAGGAGCTTCACCACACAGCAGGAAGGGTAAAAGTGCATTTTCCTTCCCATGTATTTATTTCAAAGGATTTTGAGCAACACATCCTGTTATGATCTGCATAATGTATCCTAATGCTGATTAGCTTCTTCCTATTTGGGAAGATCTAAGTTGTTGGTATCTAATGAAATGCTACCCTTTAACATATATATAAAGGTATTATCTTAAGGACTTTATTCTTGTAGACTGAAGCCAACAAAAGATGGTCTGTAAAGAAGGGATGCAGGCTTGGTAACAACTTGAAAATAACAGATTAACACTAATGAAGGATAGAAATTGTTCATGTAAGAGACACCCAAATTTTAAAAACATGTATAATTTCAGGAAAACTTGTTTGTTTGTAGTGAGTATGCCTATACATGTCAGCAACCCACAAGTGAGTAGTGTGTTCACAGTCTAACAACCATAGCTATCATGTTATTCCTTAGAGCAATAACATATTATGGATTGTTTTAGCAACTAATGAAATTAATTACAGGCCACTTAAAAGATTCAGATCAGGAATAAGATGCATAAAAAGTTTTCTCCAGCTAATTTTAGATTATTTGAGTGCTGTGTTCCCTCAGCAAGAGATTTGCCAACAAGTTTCTGCAGCCTTTTAAGACCATGGGAAAACAGACCTCTGGGAATTGCTGCACAAGCACCTCCTTCTGGCACTGAGTCCTTGGAGCTGAAGCTGCAAAAAGGATACTGTCTGAGAAACTCTTGGGATTTTGCTTTACCTTCTATGAGGGAAGTTCCCTATAGATGTACTAGTGGGATCTACTGAGGGGCAAACCTCCAGCAAGAAGTTTAACTTAGTGAGGGATTGCAGAACTGCTACTCTAAATCAAATATTTGTGTATTTGGATTGTGGATCTCCCCAAGCTTTAGACGTCCTCATAATGCATGATTAGGGATTAATGTAATAAGGATCTAATCTGGGACCTATTGCAATAAAAATATACATATATATTTTTATATACAAACACTGAACTGTCTATTCAAGAGAAGCAAATGCAGCAGATCTTTGTATAAAACTGGGGATGATATCACTGCTAATCTACATAACAGAAACACTTAAGGACTGCATGACTTGAATGACATCTCAGACATAGTGATCAGTGGTTCCCCAGGCTTGGTACATTTGAAACAGGGTAGTAAACTTGCCTGCAGGTATATAGTGATGCTCTTGCTGCGACTCAAATTGGCAGGGAAATGAAATTAGAGTTCAATAGTCCTACAATGATGTTAATTAATGGTATGGAATTTTGCCACAGTTCATGTATTATCATTCTAGCCTTAATGTCTTTACTACACAGACTAAAATTATTTGAGAAATCCTTATACATATCCCCATGGGGTATAGGACAGGCAGATGACATCCTAAATGTCTTAGTTGCTCACAAAATAAAAGATGAAAAAACTTTTTGACACTTGTAAAACACTATTAGTGAAAGTGAGATTCTAGAAGACAATCAGGAGAAAAAGGTGTGATTTAGGTAGAACTCAATAGCCTTTCTGACAACTATACAAGGGAACATAAGTTCCCTCTTCCATGTGAGTGCATAAAGCCTAATATTTACTCATTTTTCTCAGAGGAATTTTTCCTTATTACTATATGGAAGAAAAAAATAGTGTCCTCTTTTTCTGAAAGCTGAAATAACGTATTTGTGAGCTGCAATCCCACAGTGATTATGTGTCCAGTAGAAATATATTGGCTAATTCTATAAAAAACGCCTTTACATTACATACTAGATGATAAATTGGGATGGCAGAGAAATTTTTTCCCTCTGGGGAAAAAAAGAAATTAAAAACTTCTCAGTAAAGCAGGCAAGCCTCAACTACTTGCTTCCCAAATGAAATTTTTTTCTGCTTCATAAAAAAAATATATTTTTATCTAGGTAATTTACTGGACTCATAATAAGATGTACTATATCTTCACAGAAGAGATGGAATGATGAGATAGTGATTTCCATGACAAGTGGCAGGAGAGGTTTCCAGAACCAAAAAAGCGAGAGATCACTCTTCTGATGTCATCAATCAGTTACAAAAATGCTTCAAAAATAGATGAAGTATATCTGAATAACAGCATTGTCTAACCCAAGATGAAGCAACCAGAACAAGAGAGTTAGTGCAAAGGCCAAAGGGAAAAAAACCTCCAAACCCTGTTCCTCGATTCAGTAATTTTATGCAGTTTCTGTTCATTTTATCAGTGGCAGTGAGAGAACATTCTTAACCTGTGCTTGACAGAGCCCAAAGCTTTGAAATCTAAGAGGTAATTACAAAGAAAACAGAAAGAAGACAGTCAATGCTGCCTCTTTAGAGCTTTTAGATATCTTTACTTACACAGTTACAGAAGTTAGCTCAAAGCATATTTTCTCTCCTAATGATTCCTCTTTACAGCAAAATAAAGCTTATAAAAGGGTATGTTCATAGTGATTTCAGTATTAAGTCTGTACAAAGTCTGGCCTATACCTTTATTTCTGTTTAAGAAATGCATACAACAAAATTGTCAGAAAACAATTAGCGAAGAAAGTGCTGCAAGAAGTTTATATTGCCCTGCAGTCAATTTACTGGTCAAATCTGACAGTGATCATTAAAACACCTGAACAAAACAAAATAAAGTCAAATCTCCAACTTTTTTTCAAAAAAGCTTCCACACACTGGAGATAAAGCCCAGTTGTTTAATCATTAAGTTATAACAACATATAGATATGAGATTCCATTTCATCAAGGTGAGGTCATCTTGTACATCAACAAATCCTCTGATATGCCTTCAACTGAAGGCTCTGAAATTGTTATATCTGCCTCCACTGGCTCACTGCTGTCATGTAAAACACTTGAACCAAGGTTATACCCTCCCATATTTCCAGCAATACATGCCATAAAGGCATCTGTAGCATAACCACATGGAGCTTTTTTCTTACATTCCTGTCTTACACAAGCAGTACCTGTGCCTGTACCAGCAAAGTCAATGTAACCACAAATTGAAAAGTTGCTCTATATAAGCACTGATTTGCAACAATGAAAATTGGTGCATATACTGATCTCTCTATTAAAATACTGCCCAGATATATAAAAACACTGCTCTAGGCTTCAAAATTCAGCTGATGTGGGCTGAATCCTTCTTAAATGGCTATGATTATATTTCAATGTCTTTTGTGGTTATGACAATTTTGACAAGATAATAATCTCCTCTGAACAGGACTTTTTAAAGTTTAGAGAAATAATATATGATTTATTAAATAATCTGTCAAATTATCCATGAACCCTGCTTTCAAAAGAAATCATATGATCTCATTACAATAATTACTGAAAATCTATGCCTGATGTTATAAATAACAAGTACCAGGTATACGAGAGAACTGGAACCTAAAGTACAGGAACTTGCAAGGTTCAGAAGGTGACTGCAGAGCTTTTTTCTCTTAAAATAGTCAATAGTAGTTTCCATATTAAGTATCCTGCACACTAGGTTAACTTCTGAACCCTAGGCTTCAAAATGTAGAGAAATAAACAAGTCTGTAGCTATTCTAAAATGTAATAATCTAGATATGTATATCGCAGCCTCATTTCTCTTCCCTTCCCTCACACTTCATTGCCTTTTTACTCATATTGATTTTGGAGAACAGCAAAAGCCAGTTCTACGCATCACAACAATTATTCAGAAAGAGTAGCAGAGGTACAAGCTAAAATCAACAGGAAATACCTTTAGAATTTTAAACATTAAATAAACTTTAATTTTATATATTCATGCTTCTTTCAGGGCAAGATAGGGCTGGGCAAAACAGGAAGAAGGGTATGGTGTTTACTTTCGTGTGATCTAAGTACAGCAGGCAGGAGAAAGGGGACAAGATCTCTGAAATCTCTACAATGGAGTTGCTTCCTTTTAATTCCTGCTGCCATGGATTACAGTCTTACTCTAGTAGTCAGCAATGCACTTGCAGAATTGAAGGATCTCCTGCCTCTTACACTGGGGCAGTTATCCTCTTTTGACTGAAAGCTCCTGCTTTTGGAGAGTAAAGGATGAAGTACTCAAACAATGCAAGGTTGTGACAATGCAGGCAAAGCTTCTTATTAAGACACTTCAAGCTAAAAGCCTATAGTATTATCTGAGAGAATGCTACAGATATCAAAAGATTTCATTCCTAAGCTACCTGAAAAACATAAGCTGCTGTCATTCCACTGTGTTGGAGCAGGATAGAAGTGAACCTTCTATGTGTCAACATCATCACCAGAAGCCCCTGCATAATTCCCACTGCATGGCTCTCCACATTATAGCCACTCCAGCACAAGTGGTCCCTACAGCCCCGTGAGAATGAAGACTCAACAGCCCATGCACAAACCTATTCCAAGTATAAAATAGCTTTTTATTCACTGTGAAATAAGCCACTGTGTGTCTGAACAGATATTTAATGCTACAAGGTTAGTTCTTTCAAAAGGCATTCAGAAATTGGTTTCAATACCTTATAGAGTTGAATTAGTAAAAAAGTATAAAAATAGCATGAGTTATTTAAACTGCTGAATGGTTAACTGCAATAGGAGAATTCCTACATCATTTTTTTAATAGGTCTTAAGTGTAGAAAGCTATCTTCTCCAGAAAAGTGGAATTTAAAGACATGATATTCAACTTAGCATATTTTGGTTAAAATTATGTTAAAATATTTTTTCCCTTGAGAGGGAAAAAAACAGCCCAAAAAATTATCAGATTATATAAAAGATACATGCAGACTTTGGAAAAGGTTAGATGTCAACTCACCAGTCTCTTAACAATTTTCAACAAAAGCTTAAGTTCTTGGGGATCTTTTTTGGACTTCAGTACTTCAGTAAAGCTGACCATGTTTTCTGGAGACATACTCTCCTGATTGCTCCCTCCATACAGCTGAACCAGCAATAATAAGTTCTGTGAGGCACTCAAAAATATTTCCGTATCTTCACTGGGAAGCTAAAAATGAATGAAAAATGAACAAACAAAAATCAAATTCCAATTTCAGAAAAGTTGCATTTCACTGTGGATTTGGAAGACTATTAACATTTGCACTGTGACAGGAAAGAATAATTTCTAGTTGATTGACTCAGAATTCCACTAAAATAAGCTTAACAAAGTGATGAAAACATAATTAAAATCTATCTACTCTTAAGCAGCAGTATAATGACATCTGCACTCTGATTCTGTCAAGTGGGCTATCTAGAGCGACATTATAACAGCTCCAGAAATGTTGCTCCCAACTATGTTACTTTATTCTACTTTAAACGAAAGCAGTAATAGGAAAAATATCATTACAGCCATGATGTCTAATCTTCTACATCATGCACACCATAAAATTTCATTTAATCATTACTAAAGCAAGCCTCTTGAGGTAGAGCACAGGCTGCCTAGTTATTTAATGGATTTTAAGTAGTCACATTAGGAAGTACATTTTGTAGACTTTAAATATTTTCCTGAATTCTAACTTTTCTACACTCCTTTGAAGATCAGACACTGCAGCAGTCCCTAGCAATAGGATGGAAAATTACTTCTTGGGAAGCAAAATTACAAAAAAGATTTAGGGACATGACTAGAGATCATCTTTAAATGAGCTTCTGATAATATGACACCATTATCAAAATGATTTATATATTTCCTGAAAGTACAATCTGGAACAAGTAGAGATATTATATTAGGCCAATATTTGCCACTGACAATGACATTTTGGAATGACAACAGGAATGCAATGCCTACTGTCAGCACAGAGAGCTCACAAATGCTAGTGAAAAGAAATCACAGAAGGTTCTTGGGAGCAGGCAAGAGGATGACAGACTGGAAAATGTAATAGCCAAGGACTGAAGGAATTTAGTGTCTATAGCATATCAGAGGGAGGGTTAAAGTGGATTTGATCATATCCTCTCAATCATATGTGGGAAAATGTAGTCTGAGGATAGGTTAATTCCTTTACCTGAAAAAGGACTGATAAGAGATGATAGCTCAAAACTTTAGACAAAGCAATTCAGATTAGAAGAAAGATAATACATCGATTTCCTTTTTTCTCTTTCTCTCTTTAATAAGAACAATTAACTGCTGAAACAACTTCCTTAGAACTGAGACAGCCGCCATCAAAGACAATTCAAATATCACAAGAATATTTTTTTCTAAAAAAATAACAAAACCATTTACTCTAATGAGGAATCAATCTGGGAAAATCCTGTCTATATATCTCCCTCAACTAAATCATTGTAATAGTTTTTCTCACCTTATAATCTATGACCTGAACAAAATGTCAGTAGTAGTCTTAACCAATTAGGTGTAGAAGTGTAAAAAACACCTCATCATGCCCATTCTTTTTTTTTTTATTCCGAAAGTATTATTTACACCAAATAAGCCAGATAAACGTACAATAAATAGACTATCCTTACAGACAATAAAAGGGGAAAAAGAATACAATTTGTCCGAACACTTAATGTAATATGCCAAATCATTTCAATAATGATTACTTATTTAATATGCAGTATGAAATCCCTAATTTTTTTCATTTTGAGGAAAACCCATAGAGTTACTTTAAAGAAACCTGAACATATCATCAGACATACATCTCTCAAATATTCAAGCAGCTATTCCCAAGGGATCTGCATGCAAATACAATCTTGTTTTCTACTAGCTTCATAGAGTTGCTGCTTAAAACAGACTGAACTGAGATGAAATCTCTGAATATATAGCCCCAAGACATATCACATTCTATTTGGCCTAATACTATGCAAGTGACAGGACCACAACAGCTATTTCTTCCTCAGTTTTGCTGTATGTTTTTTCTTCATTCCAATCTAAATGCAATTTATTTGATTATTTCCTTTCCATCATCCAGACTTCTTTAATAACATCAGCTCAATTAGCATATGCAAAAAGCAGGAAAAGCTACAAATAGTAACAAGTTTATAATTCCATTTATATCTTTAATCCTTAACAAATTGAAAAAAAAAATCTGCTGATTTCACTTGGGGCTTTGAGACAACTTCATTTCCTTCATTGAAATAAAATGGCATTAGAGAAAGGAAGGACAACTAAATTTTTTTTTTAATGTGTCTCTCACACCCTAAAAGCAGTATTCCAAGTTAATTTCTTACTAGATCAGTGTAGGCAGCTACATCAACAACCTCCTGAAGAACATCACAGAACAAGGATTATATTCAACTTTCAAATGTTTGTTGGCTAAACAAAGGTAAAAAATGAAAAATCAGTGGAATTTTTGGCCATTGATACATCCTTGCCTGGGTACTGCAGTGGAGGCTAATTCCCTGGGCTCCACAGACACAAAAATCTCATGTTTAGTCAGTACCACAACAGCTATACTTGGAAGTGAGACTCATCCCAAGGTTTTTTCCCAAGATATTCACTAATTATCAGAGGAGTGGAAAGCTGTCAGTCTCCATAGGGGACTGCTCCTACAACAAACATGAAGAAATCCATACAGTACCACAAACATCAGAGGTACCTCCCAACACCATGACTGTCAAGGAAGCAAACAAGCAAGTCCAGCTGGTTAGCGTTATTCCCAAGGGAGGCTTGTTGCAGTAGGAACACCCAGTTAGCAATGCAGTGGAACACTGCCATAGGAGGAAGAGCTGTGCTCGGACCAATGGCCTTGCTTGGGCCTTGATTCTCTTCTCCTGGCATGTTCACCTTTTATCATTGTTGCTGTTCTTTGTCCCCCAGCAAGAGAAAGGAAAACCCTTTCAATCCAATGAAAGGAAACTTTGCATCCAATCTGTCTTGGCATCATATAATCTTGCTCCTCAGAGGCTTTCAGTGACCATATTCCAAGTATCACTCCTCAGTTCCCAACACATGCCAGTTATGACATCACATTACTCAATCCCCAATGCCAATCAAGTCTTTCATCCCTTTGTTGTACTTCAGATTCTTCTCCTGCTCTGCTTTCCCAGAGTCCCTTTGAGCTTTGGTGTTAACTAGACTTTGGAGAGCAAATTGCTGTTACCCTGGGAAAATTCAGGGCAAAACAATAGCAGGACTGGTCCTGGATGAAGATAAAAACAAGCTTGGAATAGGAAAGGCCACATTTACTCTGAAGAGAATGAGAATCACTGGCCTACAGTCTAAGTCATCAATAATTAAGGTGGAAGAGGAACTCTCAGCAGTGTCCCTATTTAAGTATGTCCACATCAGCATTTTTCTCTGTAACTCTCACCATTTTGCCATTTCACTTCTGACAAGTAGTGATTTAGATGTCAAAAGGTGTAAGCTGGTAACCTGAAATTTAGCACTGGCTGCCAGTCATTGTTAGTACTGGTTATAAAGACTAGGGGATCTGAAGAACATTATAAAATAAAACCAATGGCTGAAAATATAATAAATACCTGTAAATACAGAAAATCAAGAATTAAAATTCAGCTTTCAAGTAAATATCTTATGCTTAATAAGAACAGGAAAAACCATCATGTTTAACCATGAATGTAGATGGATGATTCATCTCTTAAATAGATGAAGCAACTTTCTGATTATTTTTATAATCAGAACAATTCAATTTGGTATGAAGTATATTTGCTTGAAATGCATTTATAGTTTTTGTTCTTTCAGGAGAGTAGAAACCCATGAAGAAACTAATTCTAACACTTTAAAAGAGTATCTGCCCCCTAATATTTCATAATTACATAAAGTTTTCTTTTCCCTTCTCAGTCTTGAGGGGGGATTATGGATTCAGCCCTTCAGCAAGGTAGAAAAGTCACCAGTACTTCTCTTGCAGCTGTTAATATTCTTGGCTAGTGTATAGCTTGAAGAGAATCCAGCACCTTAAAATAAACTACTGAAGAGCTAAGGTCATAAATTCTGCCATTTTCTAACTGAAAACTGTAGATCTATTTTTCACTCACTTTAAAATAATACCTCACAACAAGACTTCTGTGCAATGAAAGCAGTGTATTACTCTTTGCTTAATTTTTATTGCTATGTTATAACTTCCTGTAAACAAGCTTATAACACAAAATTCTATTTTCTTTTCCTTTCTAGATGGAACCTGCTCTGTGTATTTTAGAGTTAATGTGGTAAAGAGCAGGAAGTTTCTTCTTGTTGCACATCTATATTTCTGTAGTCTGTTCTCAAAAATTCTATAATTTTAAACTGAGTTGCAGTGTGTTCATGAATTGCAAACCACTGCAAGAAACGTGTGATCATTTGAGCTGAAGTGGCAGTTTTCATACCGTTGGAATTGTTACAGCATCTAATTTTAGAGCTACAATGAAACTGCCTGGATTACCCGGAGGGGACACTATTTTGGTGTATTAATGAGGTTATACACATAGAGAGTTTATTACAATATGAGATAGATATTCATTAGATCACTAATGTGATTACAGAACATGCTGTAAAGGAAGCACCATGGGGATCTATAGGGAAGATGATTTTGCAAACATTTTACAAAATGTAAAAGCAAAACATCACTATCAATCTGCTGGCTTTACTATGCTATTCTTCATAGCAAATATGCACAGTTTTAAATCAAAAACTAAAATATTATCTTTTTATTTCAGGCCATTCTCCTAAAGGAAAAAAAAAAATATTCTCTTCATTTTAATCTTGGATAATTGTTGAGAAACTAAATCCCTGTTCTGAAATTCTGTGAATGTAGCAACATTTTCTTCTTTCCTCTGGTTTGTTTGAAGACTTTTAGTTTTTAGGATAAGAGAATACTTCAATACTGTGTAAGAAAATACTTCAAATATAGGATATAAACATATGTCTCTCCACTCTGACCACAGAGCAGTCTGTATTCCTAGAGAAATATATGTGAAATAAAATTCCACAGTAATCATTCTTCTGCAGTTATTTTCATTACTCATTTGCAAATAACTTCATGCACTCTGAAAATAAAGTCTGAGCACAGCCTTAGTGACAGTGCAATATAGAGACAAAAAATGCCTAGAAAAAATCATGTCATTCATCCATGTGGACTGAGGCTTCAAATTTGTCCTCTTCACATTTAGATATGACTAACTGGACAACGGTAACATACAGAGCATGGTAATCAAGTGCAAATTTTCCTGGTAATATTATCATAGGGCAGTCTCCCACCAGAAGTCAAGAAAAATTCTCTCCCAGCAGTTTAGTAGGCTCTAGAAATGACCGGAAGATCTACACCTAGGAGTTGAATCTAGGACCTACAGAAAACAAAATTCCTTTTTATAGGTATTGGCATGGTTTCTGAAACTTTGTGAAAATCCACAGTGATTTCAAAAGTAATTTTTTTTAGTATAGTGAGTATAATAAAATTAGAAAGTGTTTTGTATGTTCTACAATTGCTGCAGGTTTCAGAATAATATTCAAATTAAATTTACAATAAGCAAAGAAACATTACCTAACAAAGTTAAGTGTAATTAACTTTTAAACACAAAACTGCCAAGGAGAAGACTAAATGATCATTTTTTTTCCTGTTATTGATCAATTATGGTCATAATGATCTTGGTATTAAATACTTAATTCTCCATATTTGCAGTGTTTGCTGCGTGACAGAGTTTGTAATTATTTATCCTTTTGCATTGCTAAATCACTGAAGTTTCATTTAAATGCAATCTAGGTTTCTGGAACTTGCTTTGCTATGCCTTTAGTGACAGACTAAATCACAACCACAGAAGGGAAAAATGGATTCAAAGTTTTTGGCATTTTGAAGTTTAACTCACATTGATTTTCTGAGGGATTATTGAGAGAAAAAAACATGTGGAACTCGAGCAAAATAAAAAGACAAGTAAATGAACATGGAATAATAAACTACTTGAAGGATATACATTTCAATGAGGGAAAACAATTGTGCAATGTGTCTAGGAAACTAGGAACTAGAAAAACAATGTGACTAGGAAACTATGTAAGTGACTATAAGAAAGTATAAATATGCTAAGATAGGTAGAAGTAGCAAAGCAGAGAAAATAATTTTAACTCAATATTTTAAAGTAATTGTTAGTTCAAAATGTAAGTCCTCCATTATCTCCAGAAAATAAAGTTCACAAAGAACTGAAAGCCTCATAACAGCAATAAGGGGTTAGGTACCCACACAGCTCAATGAATACAGAGAACAACCACTGGTAGCTTCACATAATTTCAATTTAGATAGGCCTAAGGCATTTTGAGGAGTAGGGAGCACACACATCTTGAGATATGCTCTAGACTTCACAAATAACATATCTCTATTTAAAGAGATTAGAACACAAACCATTTTAAACAAGTAATTCCTAAATGCTAAAATTATTATTCCATTGCTCAAACTCTTCCAAGCTTAACAGAAAATGTTTAATAGAGCAGGGGGAAAAAAATTGAAAAATCAAATTTAATAAACCTAGCTGAAATAACTTTCACAGATCCAAACAAGGTCGCTCACCCACAGAATCTTGAAAAAACTGAAAACAAAACAAAACAATATGTATGTATGTATATGTGTATGTATGTGTCTATCTATCTAAAGAAGTGGCCCTGGTGGTCATTATCATTTACCTGAATGTTAAAATCAGAAGATTTAGAATAAGCATTTGAAACAAACCAGAATGTGCAGAAGTACAGAACAAAGCAAAATCTACTGGTAATTTACAGCCATGCTTCTGAAATACAAGGGCAACTCACAATCTAACCAGTACTTGCTAACTATACAATTATCCTATCCTTTAATTAAAAACTCATAAAAAACTTCCAGGTGGTATAGGCTGAGTTAAAACTTGGCCTCTAATTTTCTGTTCTTTAAAAAGTTAATATAATTTAAACTTATGACTAGTTTCATTTTAAAGAACATTTGCACATCTTTATGTCATACTATTTATCATATATAGCAGTTTAAAAAAATCAATAAAAAGAAAAGAATTTATAAAGATGAAATATTAAATAGTTGAAATTCAGTCACTTGTTTTAGGTCATTCAGAGAACATTTCCAAAAAGCCTTTGTCAATAGCTAGTTTAAATAAATCCATCAAAGGAGTCCTTAGTACCAAGTATAATGCCAAAAATTAATAAAAAAAGAATCACACTTCCCTAAAATAATGACAGACGGTGCTAAAGATAGTAGAAGGATTGCAGTACTGATATCACAAAAAACCTGAAATCCTCTATTTAAATGAGAAAAAAAAAAAAAAAAAAAAGGCGGCGGGGGGGGGGGAGGTCTGGAAAAGAACACAGTGAATCCGAAACACCTCTAAGTGAAATATCCTGGAAAGGATACCATGGTACAGTGGAGTTCTCACATACCATTTTAATGGCTTTATGTTTCCTTACAGGCTGATGTAGCTCAAGAAACATTCTACTACAAACCATTACACACAGAGTAAATATACATCTCTGTATGACAGAGGTTGAGCTGATGGGATGCATTAGGGCCACAATGAAGCCCTGTGTGGAGATTTCAATACAGTGCTGTACATCTAGTAAACCCTGGAAAGGACTGCCTTTAAACATACACACTTCAAAGATGTTTAGAGATCATAGGGACCACTCCCACTTATAAATCCCTCAGGATCATGTTGACATAAAACCCTTGAGAAAACTCAGAAGGCTCAAACCCTGGAAAATAATATTAAAATGCATCACTTGCTTCAAACCAATTTTGCATTTACTGACTTCTCTAAAGGAAGTAGTACTATTAATTTCAAATTTTGAACACCATCCTTTCCCTAAGCAGTGGTGACTAGTCCATTCTGAAGGACAAATGTTGGTTATACATATATATCCAAACCGAGAACCTGCAGTCTGATCCTCATCCCACTTCTATGCTCTGGATAAATAGATTTACTCTGACATCACTGGTAAACTGCAAGTCACTGTGACCTCTAACTTCTTACAAAGTGTTACAGTACTAGGTAAACAATTGGGAGCTTGTAAACAATTAGAAATTAGTAAAGAGAGCTCTAATATGTTGAATTCGGTTGCATAATTCCAACTTCAGCAATACTCCGTAAGGTTACAAACAAGCAAACTCTCACCAGTTGAATAAGCCCGCTAATCAGGTCCGTCAGGGGTTTATTGATTAGCAGAAGGTCTTCGGCAGACTGTGTGTCCCCTCCTGCCCCAGATTTCTGTGCCTTATCAAGAGAGAAAAGAAGAAAAGCAATCCTGGTGATTGTTCTGTTATGAGGAACAAATTAGGTCCATTAAGTGGTCGAAGGATGAGTGGAAGTTTGAAGGAAACTTACACACTCTTTTCTAGTTAAGTATTGCTGGGCTCCCAATGAGCAGTTATGCTCCCTCTGTGACAATAAGAACAAAGCAAAGGGACCCGTACTGTCTGCCATTCTATACAGGCTGAATGTACTGACCTGCATGACATTTCTTCAGCAAAATGCAATAAAATGTACATGCAAAAGATACCTCAAACCAAGATAATCAAGGTGACTGAAAATTTAGGATACTCAGCAATATTGTCCATTTTGCCTGCCTGCCTTACTCTGTATCCTGAAATATTCACAATATATTATAATTTAAATTATTTCTGAAAATGGAAATATAAAGTTTTCAAGTAATAAAATCAGCTACTACTTGTAATTCTGACCACTGTCATCCCCCCATCATCAAAGCACACGACTATCCTAGACAGTGCTATTTATGACCAATCCCTGCCCCAGGGCTCCTGAAAGGTCAGCCTGCAGGATTTTTCATTTAATGTCATTACCTTGCACCAGCTTTGGACCATGAACCTATACAGTCAATCTGCTAGAGGAAAAATAAACATTTTGTCCACAGCACACATTTAAAAATAATTTGTATTGTGTTTTATTTATAGCTCAATCCTAAAAATCACTGTCCAAGTGTAATACTTGGAGGTTTTCATTTGGTTAAGTGAACAGAGGAGCAAGTTCCCTGAGACAGGTGTCACTACTGCTCAAACTCAAACTGTTGATATTTTTGAGTTGAAAGGATAATGCCCTTCTTTGGAAAGGATTTCTAAATAAAATAGAACTGAAGAGCTGTTTCTCCAGGCAGTAAGTCCCATTGGTATGTCCATCTCTGAGATTCACCACAACAGCCTGAAATGCTGAATTTCAAAGAAGGACAAAAAGTGCAGAGAAGACAAAAAATTGATTATTTATATTAATGAAGAAAAGGGAGGTAAGCCACCTTCACTTCAGCAAAATTTAAAACAGCTTTTTCTCACACTGCCAGAGTTGGGGCATCCACAGCCTCTCCGGGCAACCTGTGCCAGAGTCACAAAATAGAGTCCATATATCAAATTCACATTGAAAATTCTTTCCAGCTAATGTGGATCACCTCTGGGACATATGACAAAATTTCTCAAAATCAGACATATAAATTAATCTGAAAGTACTTGGACCACAAAGAGTGAACCCTTCTCCTGAACTTGGATACAGTTATCAGCACCATCCAACATGAAGTACTTCAGTGCAATGGAAAAGTGGTGATATGTATTGCCCATGCAGGTGGATAAGGTTATAATTTCACACATAAAGTATTTAAAATTTAATTTATTTAATGATTAAATAAAAAGGATTCAAGTACCTTTGTACTACCATCTGTAAAAGATAACTTAAGCCTCAGAAATGGATAATACAAGAAGACTTGATTTTATTTTACAAGTTCTGATTTCAATGGTATCGTATTCAAAACATTCCTATAAAAACTGTCCAAGAAAAATATTTGTGATGCATTTAGTGACACATGAATAGTGGAACACTATGCAGTCAATAACTGATGGCCACCATTTAATAGGGTATGTGTACTAATGTAGAACTCTCAGGGATCTTGTGATGAGTATCGCCAAGACACATAAGCCAAGATAAGTAACACCACTGTGAAATTAATATATGGGCACAGAATAGACCTATGCTTCAAAACTCAGTTTTCCAGCTGCTCCTTGTTACTCATTAGACTTTACAAGCAAAGCAGATTACTTTGACGAGAGAGAAACAAAACTGGAGTTGGAATTTCAGTGCATCAGTCAACTGCTGTATTTAAGTAAAGCCAGAACAGAATTTGGCTTTGAACGAAGAGATTTAATTTTAAATCTAAATAAAACCCGTCAATTCAATACTACCAATTCATGTGCAAGATCCTCTCTCCTCATGTGTTCTCCAGAATAATTTACCTCACTATTTCTGTATGGAGCATATGTACAGAATTCAGCTCTCTATGATTACATGGAGTGATGCCAAAAATATGACAAGCAGCAATTGACCTACACAATTTGATCTATGAAGTGATTCTTAGATGAAAATCATGTTACAGAACCTGCAAATAGAGGACTTAAAGATAAGGTACTGTACCATCACACATCTAAACCAAACCAAAAACCTCACAGTGAAATGTGGTTGATAACATAGCTGCTTATATAAATCAATGTAGAAAAAAGAGAAAAAGCTCAATTTTCATCATCAGCTTCTTACATTAAGCTTACTTAATAAACCACTCCCAAAAAAACCCATAAACCAATCCCCCCACCACAAAACCCTGCAAACCAAAAAAAGACAGAACGAAAACAAAAAAACCAAACAACCCACAGAGGAAGGCCTCTGGGGATGAAAAAAGACATGTCCTGAAAGATACTACAGCCCATCTACAATCTTTTGAATCTCTGTCCTTTAGATATATTTCACCTGACAAATATCTGCTCTTCAGTGAATAATACCAAGAACATAAAACACCTAACATGAAGAATATGTGTTGTTTGCAGTGTAAATACAGAAGTCACTTCCACTTGACTAACTTAAAAATTTGGCAGATGACCTAAAAAGCAAAGCAATATTTGCTAGGTTTATATCCTGTCTAAAAAAAATGCTTTTCCTTTATATGTTACTAAGAGAGTTATGTGAAATTTCTTTGCATTGTATTCTGTGCTCCATTTTTAAGGAGGAGGATGTCTTTGTTGTAGGAGAAAGTCCCACCAATGGCATGACTTGCAGTGGTTCAAACAGGAGCTTGGAAGACAAATTGAGTTTTCACTACTCTAGAAGTCCCATAAAATCAGAATAGTGGGAGTATAATTATTAAGGATAGTAGGAAGTTATCTAAAAAACTGCTTAAGACAGTCAAGACCCCATGAGAAAATGCCATACCTGCAAAGTCCGGCGCACAATGTTTGCTGTATACGTCAGCATGTATTGCAAAATGTCAAGTAAGGACAGAAGCAGCACATTTGCTGTCTTGGTGCTCCTTTTATCATCTGCCTCCAAGTACAGGGCCACAGCTTCTCTTAGGAGATTACAGACGTGATGAGTCAGTCCTATGTAGAAAGTGAGACAAAAACAAAGAGAAAAAATAAATGGGCTATCAGGACAAGAACAGTGTGGGAGGTGACCTAGATAAAATAGATAATGATTTAAAAATTTTTATATTTTTTATGACTATTTATAACATTTCTTCTTTTTCTCCATTACTATAACTACCTCCCCTCCTATTCTGTTTGGACTGGCTCACAAAGAGAGTAAAACCAATACAAGTAAATTTGCTAACTGTGTGGATTCATTAAATTAAAACCTACTTTGAATCCTAAACTCTTCCGTAGGATGGTGACAAGTCTCTTTCACAACACCCCTAGTCACAAGAATGTAGCAATTTCTCCAGGCTGTTCCTAAGTAACACTGTAAGGTCACTTAAACTTTCTTAACTGGTCTGTCAACTAGAACCGTAGCCATATGCATTAATTATAGAATCAAACTGTGCTATGCTAAAAAAAAAAAAAAAAAAAAATCATGGGAGCATTATAAATTAAATATTGCATACTACATTAAAATGTTATCAAGATTTGTTTTACTAATGGTAGTAAAAACTTTCCTGAAAATATCTTGTTTTGAAGGGGTTTCTTAAAGCCCATAGTAGAAAAATATAATCCAATTCAAGACAATATTGATTCAATTCAGAATCTTTCTTACTTTCAAATACAAAGTGACTGAGTTCATTATATGTGATCTTAGGCTACTTCTTTCACATTTCCATAAGAGATGAAACATACTTTGTTTCTTAACAAAACCATAATATCTTTGCAAACCACCTTTTAAACTTGCAGTTCACTTGGCTGCATATAAGTAGCAACATTGCAGTGTATCAGTATATTAGCTTCTAGTCTCCGTGACATCAAAAAAAGACTTCAGTATTTCACTGATTTCAATTAAGTAAAAATGTTCTTATATAAGTTCTCTTTTTAAAAGTCATTGTATATATTTCTACAAACATCAACACATGATTTATATGAGACATTGTAGAACACATTATGTGCTTACACCATTCAGCTTTTAAGAACAGTCACACTTTTGGGGATTTGAACTATTTTAGCTTTGAAAGATACTCCATCAATTAACTAATCTTCTTACTAAGTATTTTCTTCTCCTATTCCTCACTGTTAATACTTTCCTCAGGAAATTAAATACATTTCATTTATAATACAGTTATGGTTCTAGATCATTAAGACTCGTACTCTACTTCTATCTCACATCTTCTGTGGTTTTATGATTACTAGCATTATTCTTTCACAACAGTTTATTGATGGATGACAGCTCGGGACAAGCTTTGAATTTCCTGGAGTTTTGTCTAGATAAACCAAGCTCTCAAAATGAAATAATTCTAATCTCAAACATATAATTTCCTTCCCTTTCTTTAGAGTGAAATTTCTGCTGCAGTTCTGAACACCTCATACAAAAATCAGATAGCACGCATCTGACAGCGACACATTTAATTGATGTCACCAATACCCACGGAGAAGAAAAAAATTACATAATTGCATGCCTACCCAACACAAAACTTGTGGCTGTCTATGACTATTTTCAACAGCCTAAATCAGAATACACCTATGGAAAAAGTAAGACTTGGTCCCTATCAAAATGAAGTCTGGAAAACTGCCTGCAGGTATATGACCAAGTACATATTGTTTCTCCCTGTATTTGGCCACAAAACCCATAGCCACATCAAAATGAATGAGTCATCCCACTCCTTCCAGATGGTTTACAAATAACCCACAGGACAGTGACTTGGAGATGATTGCTGAGAAGGCCACTTTCATATGCAGACATTGCATTGCATGGATCATCACTAAGAATTTTTTAGGTGGTAGTAACTCACAGCACTAATATGGTTGACTATGGATTGAACAATGGGGAATGACTAGTAGTGAACAAAACACCAGGATCCATGACTGTGATTTGCAATCCTTTTGCTTTCAGCTTTGAAAAGAACTACTTGCTTATTCCCTTGGCTGTACCAGCCTGAGTCTCAGAACTGAATCATTTCTGTTGTTTGGTGAATAAGAAGGTGAAAAAAACACTCAAACTTCTCCCCATCCATTGAGACATGAATAATATAAGCACCTAGATTTTATTTTCTTGAAGTGCTTACATCCTAAGGGTATGTGTATTAGCATCCCTACCTCCAAACACCTGAGATAGTTATGTTTACGTAGTTATCTAAAACATCAGAACTAATGAATTTCATTTTGGTAGATATATGCTCACACAGAGCTATATGTACAAAGATATGCAAGCCAAATTAGAAAATTCTGTGGGGAAAAAATTTCTTGGACTTAAAATACTTTTGGAAAATTTAGCACATCTGAACTTTATAATAAAGATGTCTAAAATAAAACACTGGTGCACCTAATGCGCTGCACGATTCATACAGAAACCTGATAAACACTTGGTTCCACAGAAAAGCAACAGACTGACCTCTTGCCCATGTAAATAAAGTTCCAGACATACTCTTTAAAATACTTCATCATGTCAAAACAAAATGAAAATTGGAGGCCACAGTTGTAGACATGTAAATATACTCCTTGCTTACACCACAAGACAAAGTACACACACTTTGTGATCAGAAGAGAAATTTGGTAAGCTGGTGTAATTTATAGTGACCACGACAAAACTCCATAGAAATCTAATGGCATTGACCACTGGCACTGTAACAAGTTCACTCAAAAGGCAGCTAGAAACATCAAGACTGACATGTCTCAACATTCAAAACATTGAATTGAAAAACAGATAGTTTGGGAAAAAGGTATGCAATTTTATACAATGGAAATTGAATTCATAATTTATTAGATAATAATACACAAATCACATACGTATCTCAAAGTTTCAGATGATACCTTGAAGGTTTTCTCCCAAATTTTAGAACGTATTAAATAACAACAATTTAATTTCCTAAATAAAGCCTAAATCAGTATGTATCTTTAAAAATTTCAGAGACTATATTTCAGAGTCATATATAATGGACATAGGTTTCTTATGCATAAATTCTCAACTCTTGACTGGAAAGTGAAATAGGCTCCGATTGAAAAGGCACACACTTCATGCCCTCTTGAACTTTGCATGTAACGGATCTGAATACAAAATGTGTCATAGAGGAGACTTAAACCAAAGCCAATTGAGGAAGGTTGTTCTACTTGGACAAGCAACCTACATTTAAGTATTCTGGTGCTTCCAAGTATGTTGGCAATAGCTCACTCTCTCAAGAGAAAGATGTTAGTAACAGGTTAAATGGGTGAAAGTAACCATAATTTCTTTCAGCTAGGTATTTCCTAGTAAGAGAATGAAATAAAACCTTATACTTTAACCTATTACAGATTTTTTTAGTTACTCTATTAATTTGCATATTTCTGCAAACAATATACATCACATGTACTGTTTGTAGCTTTAGTTATAATCTGAATTTAGTACAAGACTTCATAGGGCATTAGTCAAGCCTTGTATTTATCTATTAAAGGAAGACATTCAAACTGTCAAGCCTATTGCAGTTCTCTGCTATTCAAATTTTGGTGAAAAATAAGGGAAAACATTTCATAATAGAATTATTGTGTTTATAAATTAACATAACTGGAATTAAACAAAGAACCTTTTCTAACTGTGGTCCAAGATTTACAATACATGTTAAAAGAATTGTATCCAAAATTTCTAGCCAAGGATTTACCGCACTTGACAAACCTAGTGCTCACAGCAGCGTATTTCTCTGCCCAAAGATCTCTGCAATGAAGTGAACATATAACTAATAGTGCTTTATGAATGTGGACTGTGATGACTGTGCTTGTGTTTTACACACCTTTCAAAAGATAAAAGGAGTCTTTTGGCCCATGATACAGCTAATCACACTGAATGTGCCATGATACCTTCTGTAATGAAAGCTGAAAGGAGATTTTTTATTCTCACCTATTAGTAAGATGGATAAAGGAAAAGAAATCTTCACTTCCAAATCATACAAAACATCAAAGGACAGCCTAGGAAGCAATCTTCTAGGCAATCCTTTCATGCCTACCAGCAATTAGAGCATTCAACAAACCTGTCTGCCTCCAGCTGAAGAAAACGTTAGAGCAGGTGCACTTCATCTGAACAATGCTACCATGCAGTCAAGCAGCCAGCAGCAAAACCCTCAGTCCGGCAAAAAACCTTCTCTTTGTTCCTCTCCACACATTGCTCTCTGGAGAGCCTTTTTTTTCCATTAGTACCACACCTACACAACTGACTCCCCAGGGATATTAACAAATATGTACATGCATTAGACCTTTCCTCCTTCTTTTACTTACAGAGTGGACCAACAATATTGACAGTTTAAGCAGAAACCATATTTTATAGTATTTTAAATTTTAATGCTTAATCTCAAAAATATTGCTAAGTAGGAACACAGAACTCTACAGATTCTTTCACACAGGAATGAGTGAATGTACCTGAGCACTTAAGATACTCCACGATGACATACAGATTGTTCATAAACCCTTATTTACCTACCTAAATCTGGGAATCAAATTGCATTCTTTGCATCACAGCCTTACTACTTAAGTTTTACTGTTTTGAAGAACTGAAAATAGGTGACATAAAGCAAATGGTAGTTTTAGGGTAATGGCATTTTTAAAAAAGGTTCATTGCTTTTAATGCTATTATTTGTTACTGTTTATGTTTTTGGAACTATTTGTGTTAGTACTACAATAATATTGACATAAGAATAAGCTAGGATAGACAATCAGATCACCAGTGTTTTCAAAATTTGCTGAGTTACGAATGTTACATCAAGTGGAAAAACAATGATTTGGCTGTTGAGCAGATCAATTGCATTACTCCTGCCCTGAAAATTATTTTATATTCTGATCTTAAAAATAAATAGCATCTAAAGAAGAAAATCTTGCAAATACTGGCTAGACTATTCCTAGCCCTGGTAGAATGACTGGACATATTATGACCAAAGAAAGAATCACTAAGTTTAAGGGACAAAATTCTCATTTGAATTTATCATATTGAAGCGGTCAAG